TTTTTTTTTTTTTTTTTGTCTTGTTGCAGACCTTTAAAGACCAGATTGCCCAGGAATTCCAGGACAAACCATACAAAGCTCATACAGTAGACACATGCCTCAGACTCCCAGCCTCAGAAGCACCTTTAAAGTCTGACTTCCTTCTCTCTGAAATGGAGGTATATTAGAGGCTGAATAACTGAAATTTGAAGACTGCATGAGATAAGGTAGATAATGTTTTTGTGGAATGCCCAATACATAGTAAGAATTTGAAAGATGAAGCATGGTTCTTGTCTCTGTGGAGGTTGTAGTGCTCCCTTCCTTCTACCTTCAGCACTCTGGTTCTTATATTTCCATACTTTTACATTCAGTTTATTTCACATCTGTGTAGAGGAATAATATATTTCAAGACCCTCAAGATTTCCTTTGCTGTTGATCACCACCATGCATAGATCATCAACCCAGAGGGCATGTGTGCTGGATAGCTTCAGTTGTCAACCTGACGTACCTGGGAAGAGGGAACATAAATGGGGGGACTTTATTGGCTTGGCCTGTGGGCATGTCTGTGAGGCATTTTCTTGGTTGCTGGGTGATGTGGGAGGGTCCAGCCCATTCTGGGCAGGTGGTCTTGGGTTGTATATGAAAACAGGCTGAACATAGGCCAGAGGAACAAGCCAGTAAGCATCATTCCTCCAAGGTCCATCCTTCAGTTCCTGCTTCAAGTTTCCTGCCTGGCTCCCCTCCATGAAATGTAAGCTATAAACCAAAATAAACCCTTTTCTCCCCAAGTCGGTTTTGGTCAGAGTGTTTTATAGCAATAGTGTTTTAGCAATAGAAAGCTAATTAGGTCAACATGTGAATGAGATACTTGGTGACAACCCAGGATGCAATAGCTCCCACTGGTGAGGTCACACTGTCATGTTCAAATATAGCCACATCTTGCCATTCTCCTTCCAGAAAATGTTTCCACGACATCTTGGACCCCTTCTTTGTCTGTTTTTCTGCCCTTTCCAACATGATTGTAGACACTAGAGTCTTTAGTTCCTGAGAAAAATCACAGTCCATTGGGAAGGCTTTCCAGAATAACCTCTATCAGGGCAGGAGCTTGTTAATAAATATTCTGTCCACAGAGACATAGGGAAATACCTCCAACAGGAGGATCTTGTTTCTCCTGATACATCCATGTCCAACCTTGAATCATTTATACCCTAGCATGACTCCTGACACATTGGTCTTTGTGAATTCTCCATTTTCATGCCCTTCACAACACATACGCATTCAGGACAAGAAGCTGGACCTCCCTCACATTTTACTCTTAGTCTGCATAGCCACATTTTGGGCCCCAGATCACCTGAACAAGTAAATCACCATCCTTAAACTTTGGTCTGAACTTCTTCAGAAGACCCTCATACAGGGTCCACTAAAAGTTCAGGTACAAATTGTCACATGTGGCTTTCCTTCTTTTTGTATTTGCGTTTTCTACAGACACTGATCACAGAAGATTATATGAAGTTACTTTATTAACTATTCATATTCAACTTTGAAGACCACTATCCCTCTGGACAAGCACAGACCTCTCTATTTGAGTGTCACATACTAAATCAGGTCACTTTTGGATTCTGTCGTTATTCATACGTGCTTAATGAGCTTGCCTTCACTGCAGTACAGCCAGTAGTTCTTCCAGACTTTCCTTTTCCAAGAGTCCCAAGACCACTTATACTCCAGCCTTCTGGTTTCCCATCTGAGATTCCAGGACCTCCAAAGAAGCTTTCCTCATTTGAATCAGTTGTTATTTGGCTCCACCAGACTCACTAGCAGTGGTGTGTATCTGCTAAGAAATTCAACAAGTATTTTCATCAAGTTCAACATTATGCCCCAAGAAAGCAGACAAAATGTTCAAATGCAATCATATGGGCGAGACAGAAGGTAGACATGCATGTGCATGTAGAAATTATGTTAACAGCAATGTGTCCACGTTAAAAGGACAGACAAGTTAAGCTGGCCATGAACCTGGAATAAGAAGGTGCTTCCTACAGACCCTCTATGCACCTCTTCATCTTGTTATCTAGAGATGTGTCAGATTTCTGAGATGCAAGTGTACAAAACTAGCAGAGTGCTATACAGTAATGTTCCATTAAATATTTATAGAACAATTAACTCTTCAAGTTAACAAACTGTATTTTATTGTTGCTGCCTAACACATGAAATGGATTTAAGTCCATACAAGCATCTGAGCTGTGCTGTAGAATACTCAGCATATTGCTTCCATAACCTGTCTCCTTCACTCAGTTTAGCAGGCTGTAATAAAAGTGTGACAGAAGCACTTCTTCAACTTTGTAAATCTGTAGATAAATCTCAACGAAAATGGAGGCAAATTCTCATAGTAAGTGTGGATTGGAAATCACCATTTGTTTGGGGGTTTTGTAAAATAAGGAAGTATCTCAGAACATGGAAATTAAAGTAATACTGGACAGACTGACCATTCACTGTATATGCATATTTTCATTGAGTACTTAGTATTTGCATGTTTTTCCTCCTCATCTAATTTATAATCTTTTGAATGGTAGGACAGGACCTTGTGTTTTTAGGACTATGTAGAAAAGGTCACCTGGATAAGATAGGGTAAAGGCAATGGGAAGTTTAGTCATCTTTTCAAGGACTAGAACATAACCTGCATAGTCTCTGGGGTAGAAATAAAGCAAAGCAAGCAAATGCTATAAAAACCTTATTCTGTGTCCTTGCTCTCTGTACAATTGTCTTTCTAAGTGGCCCACAGTTCTGTTGCCTACTGTCTCTGTCAACATTTATGATATAAACCTTCAGTTGCAAAAACAGAACTATAAAATGTTAACCCTTTCATAGCTTTTTTTTCTTTCATTATGGATAAAATACTTAAGAAACCAAATTGCAACTGTGAAATTCAAGCCTCAATCTGAAAGGTAAACATGATTTTTAAGGAATAGTCAATAAGACCCTCTATGTACAGCTAAAAAATAACCAACTTAAAGTGTTTTGAGTGATGTGGTCCTTGGCTGTTTAGTTTCAGAGTGTTAAAGGAAGAACCAACTAAGTCCTCTGGCTATGATGGAGGCTTCAGACTTGGCTCACCAAGAATCAGCCCTCCACTCTGCTCTTTAAGCTTTTGACCATGTACAAGTCACTTATTGTCCTGTGACCCAGATTACTTATACATAAAATGAATAGTAGCAACCTCAGGAACAGAACAAGGTCGCCAAGTGAAGTGTAAGACTAAGTGTGCAAGAAATATTACCAATAATCTCTACCCAGAAGACAGGGTGATCCCACAAATAATTGTACCCATGTCCTTGGGAAGTCAGTTTTCTGTTGAAATTGTGTTGACATTCTGAGTGTACAACGTTCCTCTAATAGTTGGGAAAATTTTGCTTGTCCAGGAGAAGTTTGAGATAATACACTTTCAACAAATTCTTCTGTTTCCTTTCCCTCCCTGTGCCCATCAAACCTGTTACACAGCTGGATGATGGGCAAACACAAGGCAGGGGAACTTCAGGGTTGCTGGGTAACACCTCACTTAATAGCTGCCTTCAGCACATGCACATCTGTCAGGAAAGTAAAATATTGTTCATTGACTTTTTACTCCACAGCCAATTTCATCAGTTGTAAATATTGGAATTGCTTTGCAAATATCCTGGCAGATTGTGCTGACTTGTTAATATAAATGATGATATAATTAGATTTATAACACTTTTTTCAAACAATTTACAATAAAACAAGAAGAAAACTCTTGTGACTTATTGATCTATCATTATTAAAATGTGCATGAAAAGTCAGTTATGCCAAACGGAGGTGTTTAAGGGAAATGAGCTTTCATGCCCTAAGATTACACCATGAGGTTTCATATTTCTTTAATATTTTTCCTCTAAGAATTTTGCTTCTGACAAGTGAAAAGAAACTCATATTTTTCTTATTTCACTCTGAAATATTGCAAGCAGTGTGAAGCTGTAAACTAAGGAATCTGGCTTCCTGGGATCCCAGTTTATTCTCCTCCCTCCAAGCCCAGGGTAAAGCCGAGTCCTCACCATCTTCTCTTATTTACAAATTCATCTCTCCTTCAACAGTAGTCACAGTCTTTAAAACGTGGAGCTATGAAAATTTTTGTGTAAATGTGATTCTGCTTAGTGCTCCTGGGAGTATATTGTCAGGTGGAATTCTACCGGCGCATCCTTTTGTTGGACGCGAGCTCTCATTTTCCTTTTAAAACCTGGGGGTTTTCATTTCTGCTCTGAGAACTTTGGAGGCCCATTCTACTTCAAATAAGGATGACATAGGTTGAGGTGGCATGTGTGTGCTGGGGGTGGCTTACTGTGCCTTCCTTGGATCTTGGTTGCCTTGCTCTTTGGGGACAGAAGGCTGGGTCTGATTAGATGCCACCCCCTTCTGGGGAAGGCCATTCTAATCCCAGTTCCTACCTTAAGTAAGCCAGTGGTCACATCTGTTTTCCACTTTGCTCCTAATGAATGCAGACATTCACCTATATTGAAGGTACCAGGAGAAAAACTTGTTAAAAATAAGTCATAAGCTGGAAGTGGTGGCGTAGCCTCTAATCCCAGCACTCAGGAGGCAGAGGCAGGTGGATCTCTCTGAGACTGAGGCCAGCTTGGTTTACGTAGTGAGTTCCAGGTCAACTGGGGCTACAGGGAGACCCTATCTCAGAACAAAACAAACCATAAAGCAGTCTATAAATGGAGAAAGGCCATCATTTTATGTCTCAGACTTCTAAAATATTCAGTTTAGATTATAAAAGAAAATTTCAATACACATTTTAAAAAATTGTTAGTGTATGTATTGCAGATAAATTACTCTTTGGAAGAAAATTTTGGAATTACTGAATAATAACCAGTAAAGTAAATCATATGTATATATGTTATTTCTTTTATAGACATATTTCATACATACCAGAGCATATATATGTGACAGATGATGACTCTATGTAGAAGTTCTAGGAGAGCCAGAAATGGGGAGTGGCAAAATTTAGATGAGTTCAAGGAAGTATCTTACTCCAATGGAATAGACTTCTAATTGAAAAAAGTGCAAATAGCCTTCCAATATGAGAATGTCTAGTTTTTATTTATTTCTTAGACATTATTATAATTAATATCTTTTATTTGAATCTCATGCATACAGAATGAATTAATTTTTTTTTTGCTTTATGAGCTAGGAATGTAGCTCAGTGGTAAAGAACATTTGTCCAGCAAATTAGGAGGCCCTCAGTCCATCCCCAGCATCTCATGAAACATATTTTCATACATACCAGCTAGACTTGCTCCAACTGAAACATTCTGTTTAATTTTGCAGTCAGGTGAGTCTGGTGCATGGGTTTCTACTGTTTGAATATAGATATGATTTTTTTGTAAAATTCCTAAATATCCCTTTTTCAGGTTTTCCTCACAGCCTAGGTATTCAGCACCACCACCACTACCAACACCACTACCACTACCACTACCACTACCCTGGGGCTATGGGTAAATATTTTTTCTCATTTGACTTCAATTTCATACTCTGCTGATGAACCTTTCAACAGACTGCTGTTGGAAACCAGATCCATTGGAATCCAGACTTTAGAGACAGAGAAAGCCAAAAAATGAAAGCCTGAGGAAGGCTTCTCAGGCTCCTGTCAAGTGTTCTCTGTTGGGCTGGGGGTCCTGTCTGGAAGCAGTTCTCAGCCTCACCTCATTTACAGCTACCCAGACCCTACCTGTGTTAGTTAGAAGGTTTGTCCCTATGCTAAAATACCTGACATAAACAATTTAAGAGGAGGAATAGTTTGTTTTGGCTCATAGTTTCAGAGGATTTATTCTGTAGTCCTTGACTTCATTGATTTTGGGCCCATAGGCAGAACCATGGTGTATGGAAACATAAGGCAGAAGTTACTAACATGGTGAATAGTCAGCAGAAGTGGAAAGACTCACAGAGGCCTGGATCAAGATGTACAGGCCCAGGTATATGCCTCTAGTAACTTGTTTCCTCTAGAAAGCCCCACCTACCTAATGTTTCCAGAACTTCTATGCATAATGTCCCCAGCTAGGAACCAAGTCATGAGCCTTTTAGAGGGACATGCCATATCCAACCCATGACACTACCCAAAGGAATTGATTTAGCTGATTTCCATTCCACATCTTTTAACCTACCAGGACAAAGTCTGAGGTAGGCAATAAATTAATTAATTAATTAATATTCAGTGAACCCACTGGAATTAGGCTCTGACACTTCTGCATAAATCTAAGTTTCTTTATAGCTACTCTATGAGGATTTGTTTGAAGACATTAAAAAAGAAAATATGAACTGTCCTGAGTGATTTTTACATCATGTTTTCCAAAAACTGAGCTATTTTAGAAGGTCTATATCTTTGCATTTATTTGTGACCTGGAAGAATACAGAAGCAACATGCGTTGCAGTAGTCTACGTAGTTTACTTCTGCCAACACTCCTGCACTAGTTCTAGCACATGAACTGGATAATTTGATGTGCTCTTTCCTCATTCTGCCTCCTGAAGACCTTCCAGACCTCCCTTCTTACTTAAAACCTTCTTCTTTTAGAAAACAGTGCAATGTTTCTGACAAAACCTGTTCTTTCACTCTTCACTAGATGTTCCTGTCTCCAGATCTGTGGACCTATCTATGTTCCCACCTTCTTCCCCTTCATCCTCAAGGCTCTGCTTGCCCTCACTTTGGTTTTGCAACCACAGAATCTAGTCACAGGGCTTATCCAAACCAAGAATAAGTGAAGCATAGAGAGGAAATGAAACAGTAATTCTCAGATAAAGGGCAGTGTGCATTCAGGAATAGAGACCACATTTCAGGGGACAGGAGGCATCTTCAAACTGTATCTCAACCCCAGACCAAAGATACCCTAAGAATCACAACACCACAGCTAGATGTGGATGATGGCTGGGACCAGTGAAGTAGAAAGGAACTAAGGAGGAAAGGGAAGAAATGGAGAAGTGGAAAGAGTAAGTAGATTGTGGATCAACTTCTTGTACCAAACTAGGGGGAAAATAATAAAGTTAAAATACCTGTTTTCTATTCCAAACTATCTCTAAGTGCAGTCAGACACACTCTGAGGTAGGAAGCGCAAAAAGCAAAACAAAACAATAAAAATGCAATGAGACATGCCAGTTCTGTGAACTACTAACATCTGAGCTAGGAGACTAAGTGAGGTCAGGACAATCAGGAAAGGAAGCTGTGAGCAGGGGTGTGCTCCGTGTTTAATTGGTCTTCATGTCCTCTATTTCATTCCCAAGACTGTCAATTTCTCACTTTTCAACTTCACTTCTAATCCCAATCTAATCTGTTTATTCCTGAAATAGTCTCTGACCTGTCTCCCCATATCTCTTCTGTCACTTCTAATCCATCTAATATTATAGTTTAAGTGATGTCTCAAAAGAGAAAATTTGGCACTATTGCTTCCCTTGGATGGTTTTGTGTGTGTGCGCGCGCACGTGTGTGTGTGTGTGTGTGTGTGTGTGTGTGTGTGTGTGCCCTTAAGAATGAGATGGTGGGGCTGGAAAAATGGCTCCAAGATTAAGAGCACTGGCTGCTCTTGCAGAGGACCAGAGTTTGATTCCCAGCACCCACCTATATGGTGGCTAACAACCATCTATGATCCCATTTCTAGGGGCTTTGATGCGCTCTTCTGACCTCCACGGGCATTGCACAACATGGGTGCACTTACATATCTGTAGGCAATACATACACATAAAATAAAAATAATAAATAAAATACTTAAAAAATAAAGAATGAGGCTCTCCTATCCTCAGGCCTCTTGGGCTAGGTCTATCGCGCGGCCCTCTCGCCTTGACTCCCCCAGCCTCATTCATTCTTCCATCTCCCCCGCTGTTCTCTACTCCTAGTTTGGGCCCTGTGCCATTCCTAGTCTTGGGTCCCCAGACACCTGGAACCAATACTGCTTCCTGATCTTTTTCACCCAGGCCAACTTGGTGCCTTCCTTGGGCCCCAGGAGCACTGCTTCTGGACCTGGCCCCACCCTCACCTCCCTCTACTTCCCTGGTCCTGC